TACACTATTTCATCTGTCTTTCCTCCTAGTAGACCCTATATCCTCTCCCCTTTCCCGGCTTCTTTCTCTCTTTCCCACTCAACAATCTTTCTTTTATCTGCACCCCACCCAGTTTTCAGCTTTATTTATTATTCATTACCTTTCTCCACCATTTTATCCTCACAACCATCCTGTGAGGTAGATTCGACGAAGGGACAGTGACTGGCCCCAGGTCACCCAGCAAGTTTCCATGGCTGAGCAGGGTTTGGAATCTGGGTCTCCCGGATCCTAGTCTGAAACGGTGACCATTAAACAACATTGGATCTCCTATTTCTCACACTCCCTCCCCCAGACAGACAATTTAATTATATGTCCATCTGAGGCAACAGACATGTATAAAGATACTGAAGAGAAACTGAAAATCTGCTAGCAGCAAACCTGTTTTTAAACCATTTAAATTCTTTAGGTTTCCTTAATTTTGGTCTTTTTTATATGTGTGTGTGTGTCTGTGTGTGTGAGTCTGTGTGTGCATCTGGAAGTCATGGCAACCTCTGGTGATTGACCCCTACTGGGGGCCTGGAGGATATTCAGAGAGGTGGCTGAATAAAGCCTGCCTCTACCTCCTGAGTACTGCTGGTATTCCAAGGAGGTCTCCCATCCAGAGTTGACCCTGCTTAGCTTCCGAGATCTGACTAGATAGGGTTTGCCTGGGCTACCCAGGTCAGGGCAGGTTTCCTTAATTTTATATGATGAGTCATTCTCCAGAGAATTCTGGAACATCAGCAGCATGACACCATGGAAGTGTCAACCAAACAGAACTTTTCTTTTAACAAACTGTCATCCTGATTACAGAGTACCTTTGGGAGCGCAATTAAGTTTAAGAACTCTGTTCTAGTGTCATTACTTCTACTTCTCTTTTCTCCTCACCCCAACCTGACTCAGGATGACTTCCTAGACAACAGTGAGTTTCTTGAAATTCCAATCAAACACCAAATATTTGGCAATCCAACCTGTAGCATAGCACTCTGACCTCTGACAGTATTATGCTCCTAAAAACGTTACAGTAACCCTGGTGGATGATATGAAAGGTTCATCTAGCCTAGCATGGTGTTTCTTACAGCAGTGAGTTAGGTGCTTCCAGAAAGCCCATTAACAGTGTATGAAGGAAACTGTCCTTGCCATTTTTCTTCAGCTCTGAGTATTATGGTTAACAGCCATTGATAGATCTATCTTCCATGAGTTTGTCTAACCCTTCTTGAAAACCATCCAAACTCCTTTTGACAGTCAATTCCATTATCAAAATAAAAATATATATTTGAGTGGAAGTATTATATTTTATTTGTTCTAAACCTTCTGCTGATTATTTTCATACTGAGTGACTCCAAGTTCTAGCATTTAAATGAAAACTCTCTCCAGACATTCCAGAACTGTATAAAACTCTGTTGTTTCCCTCCCTAAACCATCTTTTTTTCCTAAATTAAAAAACCCGCTGCTCACAAAGAAATTGAGTGTTCTTTTCTGTTCCATATGCAAAATGAGGGGGGGGGGAATCCTTCTGTGATGGAGGAACCGGTTCTGTACATAGTATTCAAAATGCTATATCATATATTTTCAATGCCTTCCCAAATAATTCCCAACACTGACTTTCATTTTCACTTTGCTATTATATCCTGAGATGACACACAAATTATTCCTTCATATATTGTTAGTGGACAAGTTTTCAAATTCAGTAATATTATACCTGCTGGGATAATTCTACTACAAAGCAGGCATGTACTCTCTGTAAGAAAAATAGATTGTATTCTTTGTTCAGCAAACAGAGGGGAAAAACATGAATCAAGAGTACAAATTCAGTATGTGGAAGTTCATACAGTAGGGACCTTTCAAGAAAACTCACCATTATTAATTAGGACATGGAGAGGGCAATTTTTCGCTTTAAATGTGTGAACAAACTGACGTATGGACTTCATGGAAGCCAAATCACAGTATAAAAACTCCACTGAAAGAGAAAGAAAAAACAGTGTCAAATCAACTGAAAGAAAAACAGAATAATTTATGATTACAGAACCCACAGCCTGTAGCCTTACACTGATCTATGTGTAGATCCACAGTGCTCCATACCTTCAGTTAAGAATATTGTATACCAAGCCAACACAGTTCATGGCACATACGCATAATCTGTTAGTTTTACTCTGTTTTAAGGGGCTGCAGGCTCACAATTTGTAACAACTGTCCTACATAAGCAGTGCCCTTGTTGGTGTTTAAAATAATAATAATAATAATAATGGTAAATTTGGGCCCCTTGAACCTACTCTTTGCCAATTTCTTTTAAAATGTATGAACTGCATACAAAGTTGTTTCTTTGTTTCATGAGACCACATTTAGCAAATGTGTATACAGAGCATGTAAATAAATATCAACATTTGTTTGAACACGCACACATACTCAGAGCTATTACAGTAGGAATAACATGAAAAATATGCAAAGTTAAATGACCATGACAGCAAGGGACAAAAATTAAATGCAACAAGAGTTCAGTGTATTTTTAAAAGTGGGACTGCAAAGACTGGAATTCAAAATAAAGAGAGAGGGAGATGCAATAGAATGGTTTAGAAATGTTTCCTGTTGGCCTCGGACACCAGCATAAAAAATAAGCAGAGGAACTCGCCTTCACCATGTGAACAGAAAACGTTTGTGAGTAAACAAATGTATACATATTACATGCCTGTACATTATTTTGGAAAGACTAAATGAAGTATTTAATTGTAGATCAACTGCACTAAGGCTTATCAGAGGAAGAAATATTTAGCCCAGAAATACATGATTTGGGAAAGGCATTTGTGATATCTATAATATTCTTTCAGAAAATCTTAACTGCTCATCTACCTTGCAGGGTTGTGGGGAGGATAAGAGGAAAGAGTAGAAAACAAGTAAGCTGTTTTGGGTCTCCCAATTGAGGGAGGGGGAAGGACAATGTATAAATGAACAAAATAAATAATCTCTTATTCTGTGGCACGGTGGACAAGGGATATTGTCTTCAACCTCTATTTAGCCATAAAGTTTACTGGGATGGCTTTGGACCAATCAATATCTTACTGCCTGTTTTACACTCATGGTCATTGTAAGGATTAAAATATGTGCAAACTCCACTCAATGCCTCCCTAAGCTCCTTTAAAGCAGCACAGAACCCAGGTCGGATAAATTAAAAACAGAACTTCTTTCAGCATTGTAATTGTGTGTGTGGGGGGGGGGCCTGTGTGAGTAGCTCTCCACACTGAAATAAACAAAACTAAGGGCTTGGCTGAACCACAACAGTGACTTCAGTGGGACTTGCTTCTGAGCAAATAGGCTTAAGAGCTGTGATCAAGTCTAACGGTTATCGCAGATATAATGAAATAGGCAGAATGGCTTGTATGGCTTATTATCAACATGATGAGAGAAGACTTTTTGAATGCATAATTTGTTCTGGGCAAAGAAAGCAAGCGGGAGAAACAGAATACAAATAAATGCAATACCTCTCCCATTTAGCCCTCATTATAATACACTTAGTCAGACTTCATGCCTAACAGTTTCAGTTTACCCGCCTATTAGTCTTCAAATCATTCATGTCCTCATTATTACTAATAATGGCAATTGCTTATGTTCCAACTTTGGTTAGCATAATGGGTTTTTAAATCAAATTTGTCCTCTGCTTTGCTATGTGGGTCTAAAACTTCCCGGGGGAGGGGGGGGGACTCTATGAAGAACAGAAAATAGTATCTAAAAATGGAAACTATAGTAGTACATGCTGCTAAATTACCCTCTGTTTTAAAATCAATTCCATTCAGAGCCAGGCTCTTTGCAGACGTTAACACATGCAGCAACAAATGCACCTCTATTTCTTTTTTCGCTATTGATAATGCTTTTTGTCATTCTTACCTAGGCAACACATTTCATAAGAGCAATGCAATTAACACTGGCAGCCTTTGTGGGTAGAAAGCACATAAGATGTAGACTCTCACAGATACTTTCATCCCACCATGGTACAATTTTTGCAGTCGATCCACAGTAATTCATCATTGAGAAAGAGTGGGATCCTGTGGAGAGTTGCCAGATCCTCACCCAAAGACAATGGTTTTGCATTTAACTATCTGTTCCCAGTGAGGAATGGGGATTGTTTCCAAGTTCAGCTCAATATGCTGGGTATGACCTTCAAAGCCCTTTATGGCCTCAGACCCAGGAACAAAATTGGAAGGATTAGGAGGATGAGAAGACAGGGAAGTCTTGCTGCATGAGCATCACTCTGTTGCCCTTCTCTCATCCTTCCCATGACTTGCAGCTTACAGCACTCTATTTTGTTCCCATGGTAATGAGGGAGTAACAAAACCAAAGTCACAGCAACTGTACCATACAGAAGACCACTGTCTTGTCTTTAGAGAAGGTCCATAAAACCCTTCAGAACATGAGGGCTTGAAAGCCCTCTATCCAAGTAACAATACAAAACAGCAACATGATGAAGTCTTGCAAATGTCTTCGTGTATCTCATTGTTGGCAATGACAACTCTGTGGGTTGATGACTATGTTTTCCACAAAAAGGACAGACTTTTGTAGTGTCCCCATTGCTGCTGCAGTTGTTGATATAGTGTGGAGGCAACGGTGCTTCCACATGGCACACTGCCCCACAGTTTCCCTGCCCCAGTCCTATGGTCAATTTCCTGGGCCACCAGGGACCCTTCAGGGGGGGGGTTAAATTAGCAATTGAATATTATAACAATATTTTTTTTAAAACTAAGTCTCTAAACCCTTTCAGAGTGGAAATATTCCCTTCATTTCATATATCCACAATGAACTGAGATAGAGGCTTCAGATAACCTGATATAGATATTGTTATAATAATATTCAATAGCTGATTTTTTTAAAAAATCCCCCAATGGTTGAGGGCAGAAATAGCCATCACAGGAACAGGGCAAGGAAAATGGTTGCCAGGTGGGTGGTACCAGGAAAATCCAAACTTTTCCACCCACACGGCAGCCATTCAATAGCAAAGCAGGGTTAGGAAACATTGAAGAAACGCTGGGAAAACCCTTGGGAGGTGCACGAATGCACCACAGTGCTGCTGAGAGCAAATAAACCATGTGGAAATTGCCAACATGAGCTCTGTGTGTAAATGAGGCCAAGACCACAGCCAGTGCATGAAAAAAGCCACTCATTCATTCCAGGCCCATAGCTACAGTGGAGCATCTCAGGGCTAGCCCCCCCCCCCGACTTGCTGGCAAGGCCCCCTGACTTCCCATCCAGCCCAGGGCATCACGGCCTTCTCCCCTGAATTAATTTGATTAGGAGCCAGGTATTCCTTTAATTCAATTAGCCCCCCCCCCGACTTTAAAAATCCTGGCTACGGGCCTGATTCATTCATTCATTCATTCATTTAACAATATTTATATCTTGTCTTTCCTCTTGGCTCAAGGTACCTTACAAATAATAATAAAAACATTACAGATTAAAAACAACCACCCAAATAACTTCATCTCTACCTTATAAGATGCCTCCCATTCGGAACCTAAAAAGCCTGGGCAAACCAGCAAGACTCAGTACCTTCTCAGTACCTTCTAAAGACCTCCAACAAGGGAGCTCCCTTCACCTCTTCAGATAGCCCGTTCTACAGTGTGGGACCCATGATGAAGGTCCAAGCCCCAGCTGATACCAAATGGTCCACCCTGAGTGATGAAACAGACAGCAGGTGGCAGCCTGATAACCACAGTGGTGCACAGGAACATATGGGTAAAAACAGTCCTTTACGAATGTGGGTTCCAGGCTGTGAAGGTATGATGATTTCACCTTGCCTCACAGAGTTTCCCTTTATTGTGTTCTTCACTGAGCAGCCCCTTCTTCGTCTTCTTGGTTTCTCTCTGGCTGTCCCTCCCATTCATTTGAATACATACTGTTAGATGCTCACCCAGCCTAGGGAACTAAGGGGAGAGACTAAAATCCTTCATTTTGTCCTGGTTTGATAATGGCATACAAGAGGCTTATGGTAGTTCAAAAATAACAAACTGTTTTATTTAACTCTGATGGGAAATGATCAGGTTGGAATTAGGTGCAGGACATGAGGTAAACATACAAGAGGAATGAGGTAACTTTGTATACAAATAAACGCTAGGTAATTTGTCACAAACAAGTAACTGTTTCTGTTATTCAGTTAGGTATTTAAAACCTGAGAAGTGAGATTTCTTGGCAGTCTCTGCTTAAATACATAAGCATAAGTCTCTTTGCCTCACAGAAACTAAAGTTGGTGAAGGTGGGAACATTCACACTAGTTCCAGTTTCCTTCCTTATCTAAGGATCACACTCTTCTTTTTGGAGTAATTTCCTTTAGACTGGATATGGATCACACACACCCTTTTCTAGGAGCCATTTCCCTCAACCCTGAATGGGGATCCTTCTTGATCCTCTCACTCCCTTAGCCTTCCTTCCCAGTCAGCTGTCAGTTCTTAAGTATTACTCCCCAACTGACTCTCTCATCTGGAATTCCATTTGAATCCCCTGTCATTCAAGGTTCTCAGATCCTGTTACAGCATTAACCATTTACTGTCTGTCACAGAAGGGCTTTAAAGGTCATAACTAGCATCTTGAATTGAAATTGAAAACAAACTGACAGCCAATGTAGCTCTTTCAAAATGAGCAAAATATGTCCCCATCAGCCAGACCCCAAGAACAATCAGGCAAATGTATTCTAGATCAGCCGCAGTTTTTGGGTTGTCTTCAACAACCAAACACAGCGTGTATTACAGTAGTCTAACTAAAAGGTTACAAAGGCATGAATCAGCATGGCCAAAATGGCTGGGTCTAAAAACCACTTGACAAGGATCACCACCCTTTAAATGGAACTATTTATCTCAGACCTGAATGGGGATCCTTCTTGATCCTCTCACTCCCTTAGCCTTCCTTCCCAGTCAGCTGTCAGTTCTTAAGTATTACTCCCCAACTGACTCTCTCATCTGGAATTCCATTTGAATCCCC